GGGAGGAAATGATGTGGGGGTGCAAAAAAGAAAAAACAGATGACATGATTCTTGTGCTTGAAAGTTTTGGTATATAAGGACAGAAAATTTGTAAATAAGGAAAATAATTTAAAGCAATATAGAAATTTCAGGATTCTAAAGTATTTGTTAAATTCTTCCTATAAACCTGCATTTTCATAAATCATAAACAAGCAGCTGGTTTCTTTTTCATTCTGTGCTAGTCAGTATTCTCCACATCATTGCAGAGTGGAAACAAACTAAAACAGTGATATAGCAATATAATCTCTCCTGAGGGAGCCAAGGATGGTGGATTAACCAATCTGCTGAAGGTCAGGACAGCTAGTAAATAACCAAATTAAATGTGTGTGCAATTTGATTATGGAGAAGAGGAAGTGTCAACAGTCAACTACCAGCAACACATTGGTTCTTAAAACGTATTTCTGGTAGATAAAATATTTGTCTTTCTGAATATAGTACATATGTTCCTTATTGAAAGATGGGTAGATTTTAATTCTTTAATGCTGAATAGCAGACACACACACAGTTCACTCTCTATTGTATTTGAAAATATTATTAAATTATTAGATTAAAAAACAAATTATATTTTATTACAGTCTTTTTTAGTGATGCAGACTAGATTTTGCAATGCAGACTAAAATGAAATTCCAGTATTTTCCTTCCAGTGTATCCCTAGATGTATTGTCCTAGTTAATGCAAATTGTTCTTATGCATTATTCAAGTTGTGAGGTCATTTTAAACTTATAACTTACTCTAGAAGATCAGGGGAATTTAGGGTTCCCGACAAGTGTCCAAGGATACCTATAGAGTGGAACTGGAGAATGCGGAGGAGGAAGCACATAAATAGAGCCCGCTTCAATGAAAGTAGCTCCGTTATTATTATATGTTGTATACTGAGGCTGAATTTTAAGTTTTGTTTGAACCATGGGTTCTAAGAGTAAAAATAATAGCAATAATAATGATAAAGACAATATTATTATCAGATTAGCTGTTCAACAAGATACCCTGCAACCTTAAGATGTTACACATGTAGATAGATGAGTCTCCTCAGGAAAGTATATCTGGGTTTTGAGTGTCTTATCGAGGGCATCTCCTTTGTTCTATAAACAAGTAGGACATTATTCAAATATTACTTTTTCCCCTCACTGAAGATTCTCTCCGTCCATTCTTTTTTTTCCTTTCCTATTTTCTTCCAACCCTCTTTCTTTCCTTCCTTCTTTTCATGTCAATGTATAAACAGGTTAAAACTATAAAGTATAGAAAGATTAATTTTGAAAAATTATGATATCTATCTATGTATGTGTTTATCTTATATTAACAGTGCCTAACTTAAACATGAATGGGTAAAATTAGCATAACTGATGTGGGCAATGTATTGGATCCCGAAATGCACATGCAGGTTTTGTTCACTTTTTAAAAGGCCAGGGTGGATGCCCAGTTCAGCTGAGGTTTTGCTGCTGCTGATAGTTTACAAACTCTTGAGAGCAAATGTCCACATCCATATCCATAGTTATAGCCATAGTTAATATCGTGGAGATGATGTGTAAAACAATGAATTATGAATAACTCATTTTATACATAGATTTTTTTTAAACTTACTTTGGGGTTTTTTATTTCATTTTGTTTTACCCCAGCTGTGTCAGATCCTCATTTCATACACACCAGCCTCATCTGTTCAAATGAGAGCCCCTCCTGGGTGTGTATATAGTTTTTTGTTTGTTTATTCATTTATTAACTCATTCATTTTCTTTTATCTCATTTTTCTTTTCCTGTTCCCTTTTTTCCACCATGAGCAATTATTATATGCGATGTTATTTATTTGTAAAATATATAATGTTGATTTCTGTGAACATCAGTTTAATGTACATGAATGTCGTTGCCCTATAGATTAGATCCTGTTTCTCACTTGCTTTTACTTGGCAAACGATTTTAAGATGTTTGCACCTGTTGATGTGAACACTTGGCATGGTCTGTTTCCTGCAGCCTTGGCTAAATGTGCATTTTTCCTGGTAATACCCCCTGACAAATAGATACCCAAGGAGAAGATTTCTGAGTCACAGGGTATATGTGTGCTTAATTTATTGATGTTTTGCCACATTGTCCTCCACAGTGGTTTGTACTTATGTGCATTCCCATTAAAATAATTACATGCTTATAAATTACAAACAAGCAGTTGTTTTATTTCTTGTGTTTTATTTTTAGTCATAGTGGTTTTACATCATAGAGTAGGGATAAAGCTGAACAACCATCTAACAAGTATCTCTCTTGAAATCGAAGTCCCTTAATACCATATCCTGGCCAACATATGCTATTTCCTGGCTTTCAAACTTTTTGCAGTATGATGAAAGTTAAGTCATATATCATTATTGCTTTAATTTGCACTTGCTAATCACTAATGAGTTTGGGCTTTTCTTCCTACAATACTTTTGAATTTCCTCCTCTGCAGTCATGTTCATTTTGCACATTGCCAAGATTTCTGTTTTTTTCTAGAAACATCATTTTTAATTATTTTTTATAACAGCATAAAGTAATAGACACAATTAAATTCAATTTGATGAGAAATACCATACATGAAATTGTGTATTATAAAAATATGAATAGGTTTTGGCAGTTTAAGGGACACACAGAAATAAGTAACCCCAGAAGTTATAAAAAGACATACTTAGAATATTTTATGTTGATTTTCTTAAATTCAAAAATTACCTGACTGTTGCCTTTTTTGTTTTTTCACAACCTATTAAGTATAAGATTTTGAGCAGCAAATCCTATCATCGCTGTGCACATTCTCCATAACTTCCTATTATTTTAGTTTTCCTATTAGAAGCTATTAGAATAGGTACTTTCTAGGGATATAATTTAAATACCATCTGTATATGTATACTCTCTCAGTCAACTAATAATAGACAAATTAACAGAATTCTACAATTAACATATTTTAAAAATAATGTATTTGAAATCACATTACAGTTCTCACAACTACTAAAACTATCGTGTGAATTAGTAAGGAGTGAATTGTATATTCAGTTCATTACTTTAGCATGGTTTTTGTAAGATTTGTAAGGAGTTGGAGAGACTATGGAAGGGGAAGGTGTTATTGAATGACTATGAGCAAGTGATCACATTCCCTAAAGTATCTGACACTCACCATTGCAGTCAAGAATAAAAGGATAAAAGTAGTAGCAAAATCTTTTTAACTGCAGTTCTTCACCAACTTTGGTGGGAAACTGAGTGAGGGACAAAAAAGTTTAGCTGGTGTATCATGGGACAGTAGATCCTGTAGTTCATGCTATCAGGTGTATATTTCATCAAGACCCTAGTTATCTGTACATTTTTTCAGCAATTTTATTAATGGTTGTAAATAGTTTTTCATGACTAGAAGCATTTTTCCTTTCATTGGATAACTGTCCCCTTTATTTTGAGATGTGAAAAATGAACAGGTAAATCCAACGGAAAACACATGAAAATTATGCAAATATTTCTTTTCATAGAATATGCTCCTGCAGAAAGGTGACAATGCAATTTCTGGATTGTAAAACCATTGATTTACTTCCATTTAAAATCATTTGTTCATAAATGTACTCTTTTCCTGAGTTGAAAAAAAGTGTTTTTCAGGGTACTTTTCATCTTTCAGTACTGAATTATCCTTAGCAGTATTATCACTGTCTTTTATGTAATTTTCTCATTTTATGTGTACAACAGCCTGGGATTGTTGAAATAAACCTAAGGCCCATCTGAAGATAAAGTTTCCTTGGAGTAAGTTGTAGAAAAGTCATTCTTGTTTGTGTTATTGTGGGCATTTTTATGGACTTCTTTTGCATTTCACTATAGTAAAAGCATTTTCCTTACTTGTTTACAACTGGTAAAATGCTTTCTAATGTATGTCAAAATTGTTAAAACTCCTAAAGACTCAATGATGCCATGTTTAGAATTTCCCATAATGAGAAACATTTGTTCCCCGTTCAACAAATGTTTCTTTTTATTTAAACTATATTCTAATTATAATACAGATATTTTTCTCAGATAGAGCTGGTAGCATTCAAACTTTGGATAATTTCATCTGAATTATGTCCAGCTCACATATCCACATTTTTGGACAGTATGAGTCATGCCAAATATTCACCCCTAATTATTTTAATAACTCATAAAATGGAGCAGAGAAACTAAATGTAAAATATTGAAATACCAATTGTGCTACTACTTTTTGGTATGAAAAGTATCTTTATAAATATAAAGGAAACATGTAGCCAGTCCAGCAATATAATTTATAGGATCCACTGCAGAATGAAAATGGTAGAGCTCTTTGTTCAAACAGTATTAACACTTTCAAGATGACAACAGTGAAGCATTAAACCAAGCCTGGGACCCTTCTGAGAACAGGACCTTGTACTACCACAGAGGCCACACACATATCCACAAAGCTGCCCTCTCTCTAACGTTCCTGCTTCTACTCAAGAATGCATGCAGTGAAGAAAAAGACACTATGTGGAAATCTGTTATATCTGAGCAAAGTTGAAATTGTAACAGTCTCTTAAGAGGAGTTTCACAACAAAATCCTAATGACTTTTTCTATGACTCCCATTGCACAATAGAGTGTGGAACTTTACACTCCTCTAGTTGCTTTTTCTCTATGGAAAATTATATTGGTGGTTGTAATTATTTTTCTCCTACACAGATTTGGTCTAAGCAATATATATTCAATAATGTTTTCTTCATACAGTGTGAACAAAGTGCATGTGTTTGAAAATATTTAATGCATTTTTGGAAACTGTATTTTGCATGTTGTATTAGATATATTTTATGTGTTCAGGTAAGTTGATGAAATCAAACTACGTATGGTTTTGTTACTGACCTTCCAGAAAACTTTGAAGTGATATTCTCTGAAATGGTGTGCAAAGTTGGCTTTTAAATGCCGAACAACGTCTTCTAGCCCAGACTAGAAATAGCACCCATCTTTTATTTTATACTTGAATTTGTCTTTTTAGGGATGCAAGTATTGGAATGGAATGGAATTCCTTTAACTTCTAAAACGTATGAAGAAGTGCAGAGTATCATTAGTCAGCAAAGTGGGGAAGCAGAAATATGTGTAAGACTGTGAGTTTTTCCCCATCTTTTGGTTTCCATTTTTTGGCTATTCATGGCTCTTTTGATTTAATATTGTTAAGGTGGAACCTTTGCCAGTCAGCAAGATTTTCTGTAATTAGAAAATAAAGTGAATACAAGTTTTATAGATTCCTTGTGTTCAGAATCAAAGTCTAAAGCATAGAAAGAATTCAGCTAATTTTGTTTCTGATTATGTCAACAGCTCTCCCCCTTCATGCTTCTATTGAAACATGCTTCATTTAAATGAAAGCACAAACCCACTTAGATTTCATAAATGTGTGTAGTATTTCAAAAGGAACTTACATTTAACCCATAAAGATTTCACCTTAAATAATCATCTTATCAGCTGACTTTTAACAGCATTGCAAATATGTATTTGGTTAGAAGGGTGAGCATGCTTTGAAATTGCTTTATATCATTAATCACTTCTCATTTACCTACTGAAAAGAAAATATTCAGGGTAGTTGGAAAAAAAGACTTTTTGTCTCAGGCTTCCTCAATTTCTCTCTTAATTTTTTTTGTTTTAATTTTTAGGGACCTCAATATGCAATCAGATTCTGAAAATTCCCAACACCTGGAACTTCATGAACCACCAAAAGCTGGTATGTGAAAGCAATCTGCTTTCAACTGTGGGTAAAAGTATAGATGTAGACGTAGGAGTAGCTATAGATGTATATGTAGCTCTAGATGAAGATACAGACATAAACGTAGATAGAGACAAAAATGAAGTTAGAGGCAGATAGATGTTTAATCATAAACAAAATCAAAAGCATTGTAGCTGTGTTTATAGCATTCTTTGGCAAGACATACATGCATCTTAGACCCATTAAAAAATCCATATGTAATTCTTGCAGTGTGAGTTCACATTTTTAATTCTTTAAAAATAAATTCACTCCATCAAAGTAATCCATGGAGCCATTTCTTTTTTATCTACTACAATTTTTAGATAACACTTGATTGTTTTTAGCAGAATTGGATTTTGGACCACTTATTCCTGAACCATTTGATTGCCTTTCATAATAAATAGAAGTCAACATGTAATTTCATAAGTACATGATAAAGTACATTTAACTCTTTCTTACATAACAAGTACAATTTATAAATTTAGATCCACTGTAAGTTTAAAAGTTACTCCTTTAACAAATATTTATTGAGCACTTCCTATGCTACAGCCAGCATTCTAAGAGTCCAGGTTACTGCACTAAGCAAAATAGACCAAGGTCTGCAGAAATGTTCATACATCTGTTAATGTGAATATACTCTTTGAAATTTCCCACTTAGAGAAAGAGATGTGTAAAATTTAGAGAAGGAAAAGCAGCCAATCATACAGATCCAATACCAGTGAATAAAATAGAATCTCTTCTATTCAGAATCATTCATATGGTTCTCTACATAAAACATTAAGAACATTTTTCTGACGTTGTAATAGGAACCTTAATTTCACTCTGTAGTTCAACATCCTTTCACTCTTCTCTGAGCCTTCTAAACGTCTTTAGAAATAGATGCATGGAAGTACTACCGCGCTTATTTTTTCAAATTGACCTTGTTTTATAAGTAATTTTCCGACTCAGTCACCTAGAACTCAAATTAGTTCCATGGTATTAAGTACCTATGAAACTGAGGAACGTATATTTCATTTTGTTGTAGTGGATAAAGCAAAATCCCCAGGGGTTGATCCTAAGCAGTTGGCAGCAGAGCTCCAGAAGGTTTCGCTACAGCAGTCACCACTGGTTCTGTCGTCTGTCGTGGAAAAAGGATCTCACGCGCATTCGGGTCCTACATCAGCAGGTTCCAGCTCCGTTCCCAGTCCTGGGCAACCAGGCTCTCCCTCCGTGAGCAAAAAGAAACACAGCAGCAGCAAGGTGAGAAGGGTTCAGTGTGACCTCTGAGTTACTCATTTTCTAGCTCCTTATTCAGACTAGGAGAAAAGAAACACAAGATCATTTTCTAAAGTGTCTTGTGTTTTCTCATTTCCTAATCTTTTGAAAAAAAAAAAAAAAACCCACATTTGTCCAAGTACACAAATGATCGACATGTATCAAGGTGATGAATTTCTATATCTTTTAAAATATTTTAGCAATTGTTATTATTAGGAACTTGAAAAATGTGACTGAGGCTCCATATTTTCCATTTCTTTGTATTTGTTGCCTAAACCAAAGCCTCTTTGTGTACAGAATATTAGCTTTGCATCATTTTGGAAACACAAGGTATACATTATATTAGATTTTGTAACTTAAATAAAAGATAAAAAGGACACCAGTAAAGAGACGTTGTTAGGACAATAATAAACAATGAACACCAGGTAATATTGATTTTGAATTTTACCTATAATTCCATGTTAATACATTTTCTCTTCATTTGAAATAAATGTTTCAACACTATTATTTTATTTTAAAGTTACTGGGGAATTAAAAGAAAAGACAGATTAGTTTTTGAGCCTTATAGAAGCAGATGAAAATGTAGACAATTTGCAGTTTTTTCTTCATAGATTTGATTCTTGACAGAGAAACTCTCATGGTCAATAAACATATTGGGAAAGTATTCTTGTGTTTAAACATGAATAAAGGTTTTTTGTCATGTGAGATACATGGGAGGGACAGGCTCTCTGAGTAAATTGGACTTCAGAAAGCAGTTTGTTTTACTGACCATAAAAACAGCAGGATGTTGCCAAACATCCCTTTTATTCAGAAACAAACACCGATGTAGGATGATCTTAATCACTGCATCATACAATGACTTGTTCCAAACTAAATATAGCTAGGCTTCACAAAGAATAATTTCAAGGATGGTTAGACTCGATCTCAAAACAAATCTTGACACACCTGCATTTGACTACATGCAATTATGTGCTAATTTTGAAGAATTACTTCATAAAGGTTCTCTATCTCCTGACCTACAGACTAATATCTGTAGTTCCTTTCTCAATTTCTAAGCATATGACAAACTCCACCAGCAAACCAAACACATCATAGTCCTACAAGTGTGTCATCCTGATATTTTTTATTTTAGCAATTAACATCACATCCTCCCAGGAAATTCAATTAAAATTTAAGGGCACCATTGCCTCTTCTTTTCTCTTCATTCACATGGTCTAATCAGCCACTGAATCCTAATCCTCTGAATTCTGATTTTAAAAGTCTGATAATTTTCTCTTTTCTGAACTCACCAATTTCCTTTAGGAAAACATTATTATTTTGCCAGCATTCTTACACTCACTAGTAGTAACTCCACTTACCAGTCTCTCAATTCCTCCTCTTAAACTCCCTTACCACTGTCGTATCTATGACACAGAAATCTGACTGGGTCACTATACTGTTTAAAAGGTATCTTTGCTCCCTGGATTGTGGCCTGTGCCTCCTCTGCCTGGGATCTATCCTGCTATTCTGAAAGGGCCTGATCAAAGGTTTTCCTTGGGAGATTTGAATTTGTGTCTTCAAAATTTTTATGTTATTTTCTCAAGCTGTTTTGTCTCTGAAATTCTAACTAAACTTTATTTTATCTTTAAAATTTGACTTTCCTCTAAGCAATGTTATAAATAAATAATTCAATGAAAGTGTTTGATAGTTTTGTGCTTATGAAATAGATCCTTGGTTTCCCAAACAAGACTTAGAATACAGCTATTTTCTGTGATTATTCTCATTCTAGTCTAAAAATATAAAGGAAAATATCAGAACATGTATATATCCCTAAATATTTTGCATCTTTCCTTTTCTGGTTAATTATTAAAAGAAAGCCAATATTCTGTACATTTAGGGAAACTGGCCCTTATTTGTAGGGTAGCAAACTGGCCTCCATTTTAGTAAGTATCTTCCTATATTTATGCCACATTGACTGATATGCTATTGTAGATCTTGGGTCAGAGACATCATCTCACCTTTTGTACAAAGATTCTCATGAAATGTAATAAGTCAGCAATCAGTCATTTATTCAACGGGATGAATCCATTTGTTTACCAGCTCCCATTCCCAACTGTTTTTCAGGCTCTACTGACATAAGGAACTTTATTAAGGAAGTGAGAGCCTACAAGAATGGGAAGGAGTTCTAATTAAGAAGTGTGAAATGTTAGGAGGTACCTCCTGGCTGCTGCCCTGTAGAAAGGAGCAGGCAAAGGCTGAGCACCCAATACAGGAACACAAGATTTCTTCAACTTCTGTGTTCCATGGCAGCCATTGTCTAAAAACAATGCTTTTTCAGTCTTCTACAGGTCTTTAAAACCTGCAAATACTTAAATTGAGTACTTTAAACCAAAAGGGTTCATTTTCTTAAGTAATTGAAAAATACGTTACTGCAGGTGTGAAATTACAGCTTCAAACAAGCTTAACAAAATGAAAAATAGATTTTGTGTATCCACAAAATTAAACATTTATTGAGAAGTATAAGTAGACACCGTAATCTAAAGCAGCCAAATGGATGAAATATATTTACCAGGCAGTGTGCTCTGACCAAATAGAAATTAATTTCAGAAGGAAGCTGAAATGATAAATTCTATAAAGGGTTTATCCATTAATGTAATATGTGTTTTTAATATTGCAGCCTACTGATGCAACGAAGGTTGTCTCTCATCCAATTACAGGGGAAATTCAGGTAGGAAAGTATATAAATCTATTTTGGCTGTTTTTTTCCACTGCTCTATTGAAATGGTAAACATTGTTACAACTTTTTCTGTTTTATAACACATACAGACCTGAAAAGGAAAAATACAATTTTAATGGAATAGCATTTTAAAACAAATGTTTTATGAAATCTAATTATATCTATGGTATTCTGTACTTTGAAATCTTTCTGATGCCTTAGCAGTATCAATATGTTTTATGCTTCCATTACTTTATGTTTGTTGAATATGTTTCTAATGTGACAGATTCTCCTGGAAATTTGAGGAGTCCTTTTCTAGAGCTTCATAAGTCTAATACTCTCTCTTGTCTTCCTCTGATTAACAATTGTTAAATAATTGCCAAACAATTTTTCTAGAGCAGTGTTTTTCCTAGAGGGGATTATAATCAATTGGTAATTGATTTATAAAATCAATTTAGGGGATTTTGCCCAGGAAAATAGAAAACAATAGTATAAATCACTATCTTTCTTAGTTCTCTGTGTGTGTGTGCTTCTAGTCAAAACTTTTAGAAAAACTGTGCATTAGAGGATACAAAAAAGTAATTTAGGGTAGATAAGAAATGTCATGTAGAAAGAACACAATGTAAAATTATAACTATTTGAAGATAATGGGTTTCAGATAAGGAAAATAGAACAGTAAGTTTTAGTTGCAACTCTAACACAGTCTAGAGGGAATTTTTATGAAAGACTTCACAAAGGATAAGAGGTTTGAACTAATTTTGAGGACAAACAAGGAGAAAGGGGGATGGTGTTCCTGGCAGAAGAAATGGCATAAGGAAAAATTCTGCTACTAGACAGTAATGAAATGAAGAGATCAGCTTTGCTGCAGACAAATGTTCCTGTAAAGATAAGTTGAGTCAAAATGAAAAAGAACTTCAACACAAGCCAACAGGTTTTAGTTACTATATAACAGGATGATCAATAGATTGTCTGGAGTAAGGGAGAGACTAATTGAAAGGGCTATGTAATACAAATTCATACAGCAGAGGCCTACAGGAATATTATAAAGGGGAGGGCACAAAGACAAATCAGTTAAGTGGTTATCTAGACACACACTGATTAAAAGCAGATGTCCAGGGCCAGAGTGGAAGGAGAGAGGAAGTGCAGGACGTGCGCATCTTACTAAGGATCCAACAGCGCTCTAGATGGTGCTGTCTCACTGCTGTTTCCTGCTTCTAGAAAGTCAGACCTGATCTGCTTCATTTCACAAGCAAAAAGAAAATGCTAATTTTCTCATAATATCTTCCTCTTTCTCCCATTTTTTTTTAATTTCTTGCCCATGGACCAGTATTTGCTATCTCTTTTTGGCTTCTGGTTGTTGCTGTTTTTTTCTTGTTTAATTTTCCTTTTCTTGAAACATTAGGCAGACACCCAAACAGTGGCTCTGGAAGCACTGGGGTGACTCTGGGTGAGGATTACTGGGGGCTTCTGATCCTCTCACAGGTAACCTCTGAACAACGCTCTTCCCCGAGGCCCCACAAAGTAAATTTTGAAAAGCACTCTTTATGTTGGCCATCTGCATGGCTCTCCTTTGGAAAATTGTCTGTTGGGGTCCTCTGCCCATTTTTTATTGTATTATTTGGGGCTTTTGAGGGTTTTTTTGGTGTTGAGTTGTAGGAGTTACCTATGTTTTGGATATTAACCTTTACTGGATTTATGACTTTCAGATATATTCTTCCATTCAGTAGGTTGCCTTTTCATTTCATTGATGTTTTCCTTTGCTGTATAGAAGCTTTTAAGTTTGATATAGTCACACTTGTTTATTTTTGGTTTTCTTTCCTTGGAAAGACATATCTGGAAAAAAAAATTCTTCAAGCTGATGTCCAAGAGTTTCTGTTTTCTTTTAAGAATTTTATGGTTTCAGATCTTACATTTAGGTCTTTAATTTGTTTTAAGTATCATTTTCCCAGCACCGTTTATTGAAAAAACTGTCTTTTCCCCATTGTAGATTCTTGCCTCCTTTGTCATAGATTAATTGACCATTTAAGTGCAGGTTATTTCTGGGCTCACTATTCTGTTTCATTGATTTATGTGTCTCTGTTTGTGCCAGCACCATATTGTTTTGATTTTATAGCTTTGTACTGTAGTTTCAAGTCAGGGGGTATGATACCTCCTGCTTTGTTCTTTTTTATCAAGATCATTTAGCCTATTTAGGGTCTTTTGTGGTTCCATACAAATTTTATGGTTATTTATTCTAGTTCTGTGCAAAACTGTATAGGTATTTTGGTGGAGATTATATGGAATCTAAAAGATTGCTTTGAATAGTATGGGGGGAAGGTTAAAATAGATAAAAGGAATGAAGAGGTACAAACTTCCAATTATAAAATAAATAAGTTATGGGGATGAAAAGTACAACATAGGGAATATAATCAACACTGACTTATATGATGACAGATGGTAACTATGCTTATCATGGTGAGCATTTTTTAATATATATAAATGTCATGTCACTATGATATATACATGAAACTAATATAATATTATGGCAACTACACATGAATAAAAATTTAAAAGAAAAGAAAAGCACTCTCTTAGGGTAGCCTGCAAGTTTTCATTTCAATAAGAAATGAGGTTTTGGTGCCTCATAAGTTAAAAGTGGACTTTAGGCTGACAGAGAAAGGAGAAAACAGCAAAGGATTTCTCATTAAAGATTAGGAAACTATTCTAAATCTCAGTCTAATTAACTGTACAATACTTCTATATTTCAATATGCCATTACAGTACACAGTTATTGCAGTTCTAAACTTCCCATTTCTCCTTTTCCTTCACATCACCTTTTTCTTATGTTTCACATTGCTTTCACAGTGATCAGAGAGACTCTGGGCTATTCTGTATTGAGTGAAGTGGTTAAGGATTCCTTTTTTGGCACAAAACATAGCCAGATAAAAATTATGCTAACATTATTAATTATTCTAATTACCAAATTTTAAATGAAATTTGACTCATCTAAATTATTCCACTTTCAACATAAACAGGCTATTTTGTATGATTATAAAAAATATATTAGTATTTTTATTCATGGATTTTCCCTTTTGAAATATAGATTCCCTCCTTTCTATTATTTGACAAATGGGAAAAAATCAAGCACTTAAGCTTATTCTAAATGATGCCAGAAGAATCTTTGAATTTTGAAGGAGAAAAATTAGTTAATTCAATTATTTTGAATTATGCAGTCTTCTCGAATATGTATTTGAATTATAAATCTTTTACTATTCAGTGATAATTGCGCAACAGCCATTAAGCATCTCTGAGGCAATGCCTCTCCTTTCCTCTTCAGCCTCCAAAATTAAAGGATAAGATTTCATGATCTTAGTCTCTCATTTAGAAAAGCAGCCACAGAAAGAAAGCTATATGTTTAATATCAGATAATGTAATACAAGAAAAGATAAAACCTACACACTCCTAAATATTCTTACATTTCAGTACTGACAGCTTTATCTTTAAATAATGATTCCACCCACTGCTAATTGGTGAAATGCAAAAGATATTTTCTAATAAATGTATCAATCAGTTAATTAATTTTCAAAATCCTGGTAATTATACTCATAATGTTAACATTTACTATTTTCCTAAGAGTAGAAATTTAGTTTAAAAATGCTAGTAACTAGCATTTATACTATGATTTTCTTTCTAAGTGAATTTTAGACAGGCCAGGACTTTCACCATGGAAAGAATGAACAGCACATTTACTAGTAATGAACATGTGCTGGGTAGCTCCCAATCAAATTAGACAGTACCTGGTCTGTTTGGTTTCAAATAAAATGGAAATGAGGGTTGATATCCTTATGAGAATTTTAAATACTAGTAAAATATTGAATGATAATCTATTTATATGTCTTTTAAAAGAACAACAAAAAATAATGTTCATGGAATATTTTCTTGTCCCTTTAAGCTTCAAATCAACTATGATCTTGGAAATCTCATAATACATATTCTTCAAGCAAGAAACCTAGTCCCTCGAGACAACAATGGTTATTCTGACCCCTTTGTTAAAGTGTACCTTCTTCCAGGGCGGGGGTAAGTATGGAGGCAATGTCTTCCAAGTATTGCATCCCATGGTTTAAAAAAGAGCAAGGTGTCTACTAGTCTCTAATTTTGAAGACTTTAATATCTTTTCCTTAGTTTTATCAAGGACATGTTTTATAGGACATACATGTTGTCTAATACATTAAATATTCACTAAGTGACTTGTTGAGGTATCCTTATTTATATGCATATCCTCAAATCAATGCCTTAAAATTATAAAATAAAAATACAAGAGTAATATTTGAAACATTGACTTTGGTACATAAATAAAGAAATATCTCTGAATCTCTTGGGTGATATAAACTATTCATATGAAGCAAGTGCTCTTTGAATTTGCTCATAATATATGCAAATTACTATGTTCTGGTATATAAATCAGTACTCAAGGATGGTTTCAAAATGGTGATTTGGGTACCTTATCTGAACAATTTATATTAGCCAAATTGGCATAATAGAACCATAAGTAATCAACATGTAGAGGTTAAAAAAATTGGAGCTGGCAATTTGAAGGCTCTGATTTTATTTTTGTTCATTTTTCATTTAGTTTGAGGAGTGACATTTGAATATCACTTTTTGGAAATGTTCAACGCATGTACATATGTAGAAAGAATAATGTAATGTCCCACCATGTACCCATTACTCAACCTGCACACAATCATCACTTTCGAGAGAATTGTTTCATTTTACCTTCAAATGCTTCCTCTGTACAAATTAGTTTAAAGTGCATATCCACCATTGTTAACTTTTTTCTGCAGATATTTTAGGATATATTTCTAAAGATGACTCATTTTTTTAATTAATCTTAATACTACACAGATCCATAATAATTTCAAGTTTTTAAAGTTTTAAAGAAATTAACTCCTAATTTCCCCAATTGCCTCATAATTTTTTTTAGTTGGTTTGATGACCTAATTGATATTTATAGAACATTCTACATCAATAGCAAAATATGTAATCTTTTCAAGTGTACATGACCCATTTACCAATATAAACCATGTTCTGGGCTGTGAAACAAACCTCAACAATTTTAAAAATTAAAATCATACAAAGCATGGTTTATGACTCTAGTTAGTTCATTTGAACAAGGTCCAAATTAGAATTATCCATTGCATTTGAATCCGATGTGGACTAACTATGTCACCACAGGAGGATGACCAATTCTTTGAGATTCCACTTCCTTGTCAATATTGAGAAAGCCAAGGTAGGCAGAGCTGTAATTTTTAGTTTGTCCGGAGAATCAAATTAAATAATGCTCAAAAAATGATTTGAAAACTGTCAGGTGCTATTAAATTCAGTATATAGCCTTTAATTGCATCCTATGAATAATTTTACTTAGAAGCTTAGAATTGCTGATATTGCTGCTCCAGGTTTCATTCATCGAATTTAATTTATAGAGATTACCGATTAGCAGAATAGCACAGAAAAGAGGTGTTTTTATTTTAAGTCAATCAATTTGTATCTTTAGGCAGTAGTTGTTATGAATTTAGTTACTTTTTTTAATGTGACTATAACAATAACAAACAGTCTTTGATTCTGTCTTTGATTTGGGTCATTAAACCTTCAATGTTATTAATGACAATATTATGGGGCAAGAAGAAATCACTCCCAGGGGTATATCTCTAATTAGCATTTGTTAATGAATGAATGAAAATAAAGAACTGTCTTATTTTCTATCTTCTCTTATAATATTTTGGAGTAGCACCTCTTATACTATATGAGAATGCTTAACTTTCATTCATTACAAATTTGTTTTAAGTAGACTTTCACAAGCTTGAATAACCAGAAAGGGCAGGCAGGTAACATGAATGTCAGTCCATTCTGTGGTGAGTGAGAAGGAAAGGTGAGAAGATAGTGAAATATGGAGCAAGTTCCCATCCCTACGCAATTTGTCAAGCAAAACATACCTGCTGCATGGGATCTGGCCCAAAAACAGCTCATATGTACTCCGATTCAATTCCCAGCACTTTCATAACTAACTCCTAATTATTGTAACAGCCATGGCCTTGGGATTTATTACACTTGTGAGGTATTATATTAGAGTCTAAGATTATTTTCTGCCTCATATTGTTTATTTGTTATGGTTTAGCTCTTCTAATTATTATTCTCAAATTTTCTTCCTTATTTCTGTCCCTAACTTTTTTCTTCCTGTCTTTCCTACTTTCCTGTTGTATCCTTCACTCTCGCTCTTGGAATCAATGCAGTCAAGTCATGGTTGTCCAGAATGCAAGGTAGAGTTGGCTCTTCTTCAGTGCCCAGCTATGCTGCAATGTCTAAAGGTTGTTTTTTACCTTTCTGTGTACATTCACCCGCAGTTCAACTTGGCTTTAATTTTTATTTTTCTACATGTTGGTGTGTGTTGAATAGCTAACAACAAATTGTTCTGATCACATCATTGCTAAATAGTTTTAGCAGATAGGTGCAATAGAACATAGAAAAGCAGAAAATATTTTTAAAAATATGAATATCACCCTAAAAGAAAGGAAATATCACCCTAAAATTAGATATAACTAAGGTTTCCATTTATAATTTGCCCACTAAAATTAATTTAGCTTCTTATGTGATAATCATAACTTAAGTTCTCCAGAATCTTCTATTACAAATAACAAATCTAGAGTCATTTTTCAAAAGTAATAACTGATCTGGATGTCCAGTACTAGGCTTGTGTCTCATCTCAAAGATAATAGTTGTCTGGTATTTTTCCCTCACTGAGACCTGGTATTGAAACATTTTCATGTCTTTATACCTTCTGCACCACAAAATTATTGCTACACAGTATAAGATGCCATAATCGGCCTGCTATACTATATTAGCAACAATGGAAGAACTGCCTCCTTTGTTTGCCAACAATAGAAAACTGTTTCCTGATAGAGCTTATAACATGTTAGATCATTACATTGTCAACTAAGGCTATCTCTTAATACAGAGCCAAAATCATTATTTTATATATCTTATTACATTATAAATTAAATGTGTTATGGTATAGGATTTGTTCTTGTCTATAGCATTAAAATTGACATCTTTGCTAATCCTGACAAGCTGTTTCCCAAAACAGGCTGTTTCTGATTTTTAAAGGCATAAATATTTAAGTATTTCAAAAAAAGGGTTGGTCGCAACAGCCTTTCCAGTATCCAGAAACTTTGGTTTCCTTGCAGCTATATAATTATGGCAAACACCTAAACTTGCTGTTTGCAAAAGGCTGCTTGTTATGACTGGCTCTCTTATCTCAGGATACTATCCAAATCTCTCAGATTGGTATGTGAAATTAGTTCTGTTTCAAAGAGTGTCATTTTAGAACAGATATTATCAATGACTTTATTCAGAACAATCTTATCTTGTCCAGAGAGACTGGGGGTAAATTGTCAGAATGACAGTGATTGTCTATATTTAACTTAGGAGACAACCAGTTTTGTAAATGTAAATAGTGATTGAAAGAAGTCACTTCCATAATTTTTTTAGAACTGTCAATGTGAGAAGGAATTAAAATGACAAGGTACTGACATTATAAGGTAGGCTGAGGAAGACAGTGAGTGAAGTCCTTAAGAACCTGGGTTGGAATTTTAGCCCTACCCCTTAGAAGTTATGACGTTTCTCTAAAACTATTCCCTCTTCTGCTAAATAGGAAAAATAATAGCTCCCTCAGGCTTTTTGTGAAACAAAAAACCTATAAGATTGCTTTGAATAGTATGGGGAGAAGGTTAAAATAGATAAAAGGAATGAAGAGGTACAAACTTCCAATTATAAAATAAGTAAGTTATGGGGATGAAAAGTACAACATAGGGAATATAATCAATACTAACTTATATGATGACAGATGGTAACTATGCTTATCATGGTGATCATTTTTTAATATATATGAATGTCATGTCACTATGAAATGGTTTTAGAGAAACTAATAGCTAATTTTAGCTATCGTGATGTTCTCTAAATACCCTTATTAGCAAGTCAGACTATTTCCTCTGGGACCTGTGTAAGGCTGGTCCAGGTGTTGTGTGTATTTACAATCCCAAAGCCAAAACTTATTTTATTTCAATAGATTTTAAAGGAAAAAAAAGAAGTACAAGTATGTTTTAAGGATCCATCTAATAAACATTTATTTGGCATAGACTGCTCCATACGCTGTACTAGGTCCTGGGGTTAGAGATGACTACACAGCCATAGTCTCTGACTTTGGGCAGAGGATGATAAAGCGACAGGCCATAAACACACTATTGCATGGAAAAACAGAGCTAAAAAAATGGGAAATGCTCTGTACTTCTAAATTAAAGGAAACATCCTCAGAGGAGTATACATATATATGTAATTTTTCCCAATAAAGTAATATATATTTACAATGAAGGAAACCCAAATAAAATAAAGGACATTTTAACCTTCAACATTTTAGTTAATTCTAGGAAATTTAAATACAAAGAAGGCACCATGTTCCATTCTTCTTTCTCAATTTTTCTTTTGAAATTATAAACGAAACTCAGAGAACTGTTTTTCTGCTGGTTTAGGGTAGAATAATTGCATCTCAAGTACCTCTTTCTGCTTGCCTTAAAAGCATAGCTACCTATGAGAAAATGCCTGGCCAATAATAAGAAATGCAAGAAAAGAAATGCAGCAAAACTTCAGGGGGATGAAAGTTTAGATCTTTGTTTTATTAGCATCATGTTCCATCTTGATTAACTTTTTATGTTCCCTTATTAAAAACTTTATTAGATATGGCCTGATGGTTCTAACATAATATCATTATTATGATCTTTACATGTAGTGTGTTTACCAGACAGGGAAGGAAAGGGAAAATGAGCTCCACTTTTTCCTTTATCTGAATTTATGCTCATATTCAAGAACCCCCCTGCTTACCTGGCCATATTCAACTTGTAAATCCACTGATTTTATATGCCTGTGAGAATTGCAGAGAGTTTTTCATTGTGTGAAGTGTCACCACATAGTCCATTAGGATCATGTTCAAGATGGTCAATACATGGTAGTTATAAGCAAGTATATCAAAGAAATGGCTTTGTGTGGCCATATCTGTGTGTCTGGAAATCTGCATGTGAGAAGACTGCAAAGGCTTTCATGGACATTGTTTACCTCTATTAATCCTAAAGGCAATGGATACCTTGATCTGGAGAGAATTGGAGAATCAAACTCATAATTAGATTAATACACTCTGTTAAAGTGAACATCTAAATTGTTTTCCTATTTCTATTATTTCTGAGTGTATCTGGGCTAAAATTGATATTTATAATAATAATCCCTAGTTCCACAAAGTCTCTTAGGATATCCCATTCAGAATTTCCCTGAACATATCAAAAACTGACCTAAATATTATCTGTAATTTATATAATAAATACACAAAATATATTTAAATTGAGGTGAAGAAGTTTAAATTATAGGGTAAAGAAGACAAATTGAACACTTTCATTAATGAAGTCTATAATTTAAAAATTTGATGGATTATTCACTTCTTATGATGAGCCTAATAAATTGAGCTCATATAGTGTATGTTGAAAAGCAACCAGTTTTCCTATGTTTGAATCATCGTCCTACCAGTTAATAACTATTGCAACCTTGCCCACAAATCTTAATTCCCCTGAGCTTCAGTTGTTTTATCTACAAAATAGAATAAGAAATGATTCCTGTCTCATAGAATTGCTGTGAGGATTAAGTGACTTAGCACATTAAAAGCACCTAGAACTCTGCCTGGGAAAAGTAAGCATTTAATAAATGTTAACTGTTTTTATTTTAGTGTGCTTACTTTATAAAGTATCTTTCATACATGAATCAAATATATAATGGGATGTCAATATAATTATTATGTCAGGACAATACAATACATTACGATTAAGTAAGTACATCTTGATAGGGAAGCACAGTTCCTAGTAGAATTGGCATTCAATAATTTTTGCTATAAGTGGAAAAAATGACCAAAATATAAATGTGAAAAATTATAATAACAATTATTCATATTTATAGATTAAGTAAAGATGGTCACTAATAATTTCTTTTGAAAATATTTAAATAATGCAGACTATTTTCATATATACAGGCATACCTAGAATTTTAGTAAAGTACATGAGTTTGCATTTGACATTAATTCCCATCATGTTAAAAAATATATGCCTCTAAATTTTCAGAATTGAAAAAAAATAACAATTTTACTACTATTCACTATATTATGAATCTCATCCTTAATGTTTTGCCCATGCTCACACCACCTTGATAATGTTCCAAACAAAGAGAAACTTTAAAACTCATACTACCATGTGTTTTACTTCCAAGTGTAGCTGCCTGGAGGAATAGCCATAAATTTTAAAGTAGTAACCACAGCTTGCCATTAACTTGAAAGTGCTCACATTCTTTCTTCCTATGTCTTAAAAAAAAATTCAAAAACAGAAACTATAAAGAGACATAGTTCACCAAAACAATTTTGAATTTTTATTATAAAATGTTTCTAACCTACTAAAAATTATCAGAAATATTCTGACAAATACCTGTGTTTTTACTACCCAGTTCTATCAAATATTAACATTTTGCAATACAGGCTTGAGATTTTTTTTTAAATCAACTTTTTACAGATACCGCTGAAGCCTTCTGAAATCATCCCCTTGTCCACCTGAGACAACCGCTAAATAGAATTTAATATCTAAAATTCCCAAGCTGTCTTATGATATAAATGTTAGCTGTACATATACATGTATACATAAATAATGTATATATATTTCATATATAAATAATGAAATATTATTTCACATGATTTTAACTTTAAATCATGATAACATACTGCAGTTATCCTGCAAGTTTTTTGCTTAAGATTTTTTTCAAGATTTATCTATCTTGATATATAGAGGTATATTTCATTTATTTTTAACTGTTGCTTACAGTTAAAATAAATATATCATGTATTTATTAATTATCAACACACTACCAGAAACAATGTCCCTGTAAATGTTTCTGAACACATTCCTTGGGCACAGGTGGGAGAATTTCTCTAAGGTAGAAAAGGAATCAGTCAAAGAACTTTCTGAGTGTTTAGGTACATAAACTTCACTAAATGTTGACAATTTACCTAAGATGTGTGTGTACAAACATACTTTCTTTCCATGAGAGTTCCTATTTCTTTAAATCATTGCATGTACATTTCCTCCAAACTGCATTTTATCTTGAATGATAAAGTTGTTGATCCTGCTCTTATTTTTGTACATTTGAATGAGTTATTTCAAAGTAAAAGGAGTGTTGTTTTATTT